ATTTGATTCTTGGAAAAGTTAAATAAGATCAATCAACCCTGGGCCAAGGAACTGAACAGACACTTCTCAAAAGAGGATATACAATCAATCCAATAAATATATGAAAAAATGTTCAACATCTTTAGCAATTAGAGAAATGCAAATCAACCACTCTTAAGATTTCATCTCACTCCAGTCAGAATAGCAATCATCAAGAATACAGGCAACAAGAAATGTTGGTGAGGTTGTGGGGGAAAAGGCATACTCATTCATTGCTGGTGGAACTGCAAATTGGTTCAACCACTCTGGAAAGCAGTATAGAGATTCCTTTGAAAACTTGGAATGGAACCACTATTTGACCCAACTATCCCATTCCTTGGTTTATACCCAAAGGACTTAAGACAATATACTACAGTGACACAGCCACACCAATGTTTATAGTGGCTCAGTTCACAACAGCTAAATTGTGGAAACAACCCAGATACCCTTCAGTAGATGAATGAATAGAGAAACTGTGTTGTATATATATGCACAATGGTATTACTCAGCATTAAAAGAGAAAAAAATCATGGCATTTGCAGTAAATGGATGGAGTTGAAGAATATTATGCTAAGGAGTTAGCCAAGCCCCCAAACCAAAGGCCGAATGTTTTCTTTGATATGATGCTGACTTATAGTGGGGATGCAGCGGGGAGGACATTCGAAGAATGGAAGAACTTTAGATAGAGGAAAGGGGAGGGAGGGGGCATGGGAGTAGGAAAGATGGTGGAATGAAATGGACATCATTACCCTAAGTACATGTATGAAGATGCAAATGGTGTGAATCTACTTTGTGTACAACCAGAGACAGAAAAATTGTGCTCTATATGTATAATATGAATTGAATTGCATATATATGTGATAGAATATATCATATATAACAAATTAGAATAAATAAATAATTTAATTTTTAAAAAAGATTGATAAGCCATTAGCCAAAGTAACCAAAAGAAAGAGACCCCAATTAGTAAGATTACAGATGGCAAAGGAAGAAATGACCACAGGCATCAAGGATATCCAGAGAATCATTGGGGATTCTTTTGAAAACCTGTATTTCTATAAGTTGGAAAACCTAGAAGAAATATATACATTTCTAGTTACACATGACATGCCAAAATTAAATCAAGAGGATACAGAAAACCTAGACAGACCAGTTCCTAGCAATGAGCTAGAAGCAGTAATAAAAGGCCTTTCAACAAAGAAAAGCCCAAGACTAAATGGATCTTCCCCATCAAAATTCTACCAGAACTTTAAATACTAATACCAATGTTCCTCATGAAATAAACATGAGGATGAAGCACTTTCAATTTTTTTTCTATAAAGCAGTATCTCCCTTATACCAAAATCAGATAAGGACACATGGAAGAAAGAAAACTACAGACCAACATCCCTCGTGAACTTATAAGCAAAAATCTTTAAGATATTAACAAATTGTATTTGACAACATATTAAAAAATTGTACATCATGACCAATTTGGTTATATTCCAGGGCTGCAAAGATGGTTCAACATATGCAAATCAATAAATGTAATTCACCACATAAATAGAATTAAGGACAAAAATCACATGTTCATCTCAATAGATGCAGAGAAAGTCTTCAACAAAATCCAGCACCCAATCATGATAAAAACTTTGAAAAAACTAGAGATAGAAGGAAACTACAATATCATAAAAACTCAATATCATAAAAGCTATATATGACAAACACAAAGTCAACATCATAATGAATGGGGGAAAACTGAAAACATTTCCTTTAAAATATGGAAAACATCCACTCTCACCACTCACATTCAATAAAGTACTGAAAATTCTAGCCAGAGCAATTATGCAAGAGACGAAATAAAAGAGATAAAAAATAGGAAAGTAAGAAGTCAAATTCTCATTGTTTGCAGATGGTATGACCCTCTACAAAAAGCTCCACCAAAAACCTGCTAGAGCTAATAAACAAATTCAGCAAAATAGCAGGTTATAAAACCAAGACAGAAAAATCTATAGCTTTCCTCTATACCAATAATGGATCTGCTGAMAAAGAAATCAGAAAAACAATTTCATTCACAATAGCCTCAAAATATACCTAGGAGTAGATCTAACCAAGGAGATGAACAACAGGCTCTGTAATAAAGATTACAGAACACTAAACAAAAGAAATTGAAAAAGACCCAAGAAGATGGCAAGGTCACTTATGTTCATGGATAGGCAGAATTAATATTGTTAAAATGGCCAAATGACCAAAAGCAATATACACATTCAGTTCAATCCCCATCAAAACGCCAATGACATTCTTCACAGAACTACAGGGGGCAAAGGAAAAAACAGTCCTGAAATTCATTTGGAAGAACAAAAGACCCAGAATAGCTAAAGCAATTCTAAGCCAAAGAAAAATCAACACTGGAGGAATTACAACACCTGACTTTAAATATATGGAGCTATAGTAACAAAAACTGTGTGAACTCATTTAAGGAAAACAGTTCTAAATAATACTAAATACTAAATAATATTCAATGCCAAAGTACTATAGTAATAGTATACATTAATGCTATTGTCATAGTAATGCTACTGCTATAATATTGTAACAGAAATACCAAAGTGGTTGAGAGATAGTACAAATTTTCCTATTTAGTATTATTAAGTTTTGTGGTGCTGATACTAACTTTAAAGTGTCAATAAGATTTTTCTCCTGTTCCTGAATTCTTTCTGCTTCACAGACAATACTTTTCTGTAGTATGTATGCCTACCTAATTGGAGTTTGGAAAATAAATTCTTGAGTTGATAATATAGCAATAACTGCAATTTTGTAGTCCAACTTTGAGATGATGAAAAGAATACAAACTCTTCTGACACATTCGTGTTAATGTTGTGTTTTAATCCAGGGGCTGAATTCTTTTGGTTGCGGTTGACAGAAGCATGACTTGAATTGGATTATATGAAAAGGAGATCATTTTGTTCAGGGTGTGACCAGAGAGGAGTTGAGTACCCTTAGAGGAGCAGAAGGGGACAGAGTTGGGTCTCAGGGGGAATGGAAACACAGTTCAGACATGCAGCGCTGCTGGGGTGGCCTGTGTTCTCACTGGAGGACATCTCCACACCTGGTCCCTCTCCCTCAAAACCCACCTGGACTGTGGAATGAGGATGSGAAGAGACTTGGGGCTGGTGAACTTTGAAACTAAAATGATTAGGAGCAAGAATGCATTTTCCTAATAGTTAATAATAATCTTCTGTTCTATCAGATGCCAATTCGGGTGGCTTGTATCATGCCATATCAACTTCATTTGTTTTATTTTATTCAATTATTCCACAAATAGTTGTGGAGTGCCCATTTTGTATCTGATACTCGGCTTGATATGAAAGATATATAAATGAGAAGGGCAGGACTGGTCATGAAGAGATTATAGTGTAGTGGGAAAGGCAGCCATGTAAGCCTATAATTTCCACTGGGTGTGACAAGAACTATGATGGGGGTATGACTTCATTGCTTAGTATTAAATGTGGAGTTAGAATGAATGGTCATCTATAAATCTGCACTGTGAACATAGTTCATATACTTCCTCTTCCCCAACATTGAAATGGTTCTTCCTCTTCCCATGGCTTTCCTGTGCCCAGTACATTATAGTCCACCCAGCAATTTCACTCGCATACATTTTTTTAAATCTTTTTTTTTTTTTTTTTGGATAGCAGGGATCAAACCCAGGGGCACTTAGCCACTGAGCCACATCCCCAGCCCTTTTTTGTATTTTATTTAGAGACAAGGGTTTCACCGAGTTGCTTAGGGCCTCACTAAGTTGCTAAGGCTGACTTTGAACTCATGATCCTCCTGCCTCAGCCTCCCAAACTGCTGGGATTACAGGCATGTGCCACCACACCCAGACCCTCACTCACATTCTCTCTAAAACTCAGACACAAATCAGAACAAGATATATTCTGTGCTTGTATAATTATGTCCAAATGGATCCCACTATCACATATTACTAAAAAGAACTAATAAAAACAATTTAAAAATTCAAACATCATCCTTCTGAAATAAGTGAAGCATGTATTACTTTCCTTGTTTTCCACCAAGGAAATGGAGATTCCAGTGCTTTGAAATGACTTGTCATGATCCCAAGGCTAGTACATGATAGCATTGACCCTGAAGCCCATGCCCGGGGCTTCAGGGCTATTCCAAAGCCAACATGCTGCCACTGTTCTCCATGGGACACAGAATACTCTCCGGGGGGGGGGGGGGGGGGAAGAACCCAATTCTGATCTGTCCCCAGCAATATGCTGAAGGACACTGACCTGTTCATCAGCCACCTGTGTCCATCTGTGTGCATCATTCAACCCTCACCCCTTGGTCATTGTGCTACTGGGCATTGACACCTGCTGGGCCTCCTTCCCCAGTCTGAGGGCCAGACTGCCTATTGCTCGTGGATCTTATTAATGAAGTAGCGACAGGGAGGAGGGAGCTCTGACTGGAGAAAAGTCTTAAATGGGCAGATGAGGGATTCAGTTCTCTAGAACAGGGCATCTAAGGTTTAAAGAGCACGTGAATCACACCTGGCATCTTGTCTAAATGCAGAATCTGATTAAGGTGGTTCTAACAAACTAGCAGCTGATGCTGAAATGCTGATCCTCGGACCAGCATCTTTGAGAAGCACAGATCTACATTAAAGATGCTAATACATCTTCGCCTAATTCCTGCCAGGGAAAGAGCCAACCAGTGGGCTGGTAACTTTCTTAAAAACCTGAGATGGAAGAATGTGACTTGGAAAAGATATATATTACTTTAATAACATGTTTACAGAAGGAACCCTGAGATTAAAAACGAAGAGATTTTGTCAACATACATGTCCCATGGCCCAGTTAGACATCAGTTTCCCCAACTCTTGAGTGTGACAAATCTTGSCTCAAGGTTAATAATGCATATAATGTTTGAAACAAAAACATGATGGGGGAAAAAGCAAATTATAACCTGTGGTACTTTTTTCTTGTATTTTCTCTTTGTAGGAGATGTCAGTGAAAAGAAGGATCCAGAATGATTACTAACCTATGACTCCCAACAGTATGACAGGTATCTATATGTTCTTTCTTAATTTTTTTTTTTGTGTGTGTGTGTTTCCATTTTTGTTTCACCTAAAGTATGGGGTTTCTAAAGACTGACCTGAGAGTCTTAGCAGCAATTCGGTTTGTTTTTTGAGGGGGGGCGGACAGTACTGGGGCTTGAACTCGGGGGCACTCGACCATTGAGCCACATCCCCAGCCCTATTTTGTATTTTATTTAGAGTCAGGGTCTCACTGAGTTGCTTAGTGCCTTGCTTTTGCTGAGGCTGGCTTTGAACTCACAATCCTCCTGCCTCAGCCTCCCAAGCCTCTGGAATTACGGGTGTGTGCCACCACATCCAGCTCTTAGCAACAATTCTTTCCAAATCAACAAGTATTATTAATCCCAGTGAATACATCCCTACAAAATGTGCTTCCATTTTCTTCAGGAATTATGAGATACATCATTACCAGAAAGATGATGGAGAGGAAATGATAACTCTCCGTGAAAGGTTGGTTTTTAAGCCATTCTCAGGTCACCATCACACTGGATGTGCTTACTCTTTACAGCCATTCAGATCCCTAGGATAAATGGCTCTGCATCCTTAGCGATCACAGAGTACATGTGTCTTCTCAAAGTGGGCTGTTCATTCCACTAAGCAGTCAGAATRGAAAATGATTAGACCACAAGAAGCACGAGTGAGCCATAAAACTTAGCAACAGCACAAATTCTTTATGCAGCATAGAACAGAGATCCCTTGCTCAAAGGCCCCGAGGTCAAGAGGAATAATACCAACAATTACCAAGGTTGGGTGTAAGGAAGACAAACAGAACTGGAGAACTTGGGTTCTCTATGAAAGAGAAACCCCCTACTCTGAGCAAATGCTGACAAGCAGGAATGAAGCCCAGTGTATGTCCAGTGACTTGGAATTTTCAAGAGAAATTAGAAATCCAGATTTTAAGTGAAATATTCTAATTTTTAAATGTTAGCAATTAACTTATAAAAGCATCGAAGACTCATGATCCAGCCATCCAGCTACTCAGGAGGCCAAGGCAGAGGGATGACAAATTCAAGGCTAGCCAGGGAGACTTTGCTTCAAAATAAAAATTTTAAAAGGGCTTGGAATGTAGCTTAGTCATACAGCACTTGCCTAACACGAGGAAGCCCCTGGTTCAATCCCCAGCACGCGCGCGCGCGCGCGCGCACACACACACAAAAGGCGGAATGTTGGGGAGAAAAGGTTATAAACTGGAATCAATCCATTTATGACTTTGTATACCTTCCAGGCCAAACATCAAACCTGGGACTTTCCTTTTTGTTACCAGGGCAGCAGTGCAGATACCTATAAACCTCTGCATGTTAGAGATGCAGCCTGGCTTTTGATAATCTATCCATGTCATTTCCTCACCCTGGGATAAACTAAATGAAAGCACAATTCCTCTTAAAAAGTCTACTCTCTTTAGACCTTAAAAAGGCATACATATATTGATGGTCGAGTAGAATATATTTTTTTAAAGTGAACCCTGGCCTGGAGGCTGAGGCAGGAGGATTGCAAGTTCGAAGCCAGCCTCAGCAACTTACCAAAAATAAAAAAGGTTTGGGAATGTGGCTCAGTGGTTAAGCACCCCTGGTTTAATCCCCAGTACCAAAATTWAAAAAAAAAAAAAAAAAAGTAACCAAAAGTTTCTACTCAGCCTTCTGAAGATTTGAAAGACTCCCAGTGACCATAAGCATTCTCTCTCCCAGCATTATTGCCCTACCTCTCTACCCACCTGTGCTTGAGTTCCTGATATAGCAAAAAGATAGGGTGCCTGGGAAAATCAGAATGATTTATACCTGTGAGAAATGAGAATTTCAGAATCATATCTCATCATCTCCTCTTACTCCATATCAGCAAATACCAAAACCTACCCACTCCTGTTTCTGTTCTTCTGCTAACAAGGTCAAGCTCTTTCCCCCTTAAATCTCACTCCTGTGTTACAAAGGTGCATGTTCACAGGAAATTGGTATAGATCAACCTTAACTACAGCTGTCATATATATGCTGGTATGAGTGGGAATCTTATCAGATAAAGTGACAGCCTAAGTCACTGAAGGCATATGTATGTGTGAGCACACAGATAGCAGAGAGCAGGTAAATAGTAATGCAAAACTGAGACAAAGTCTGGAAAAGGACAGTGAGACCATGTGCTACCCAGGGGTGGCTTGGTGCCACACGATAATTTGCCCACCTGAAAGCACTTCCAAAGGTACAGATTCCATGAACATATCCTCCTGAGACATTTGACAATGGAAAAAATTGGTATAAAAGGTGATAATAAGATGATTTTTGCTTGCTCAGAGGGGTAAGTTCTAGATAGAGTGCAATAGGGACCATCCAACCCAGGTCCTTCCCGATCGATGATTGACAACTTTTGATTGATTGTAAATGGGCCAGTGAATAAATATTTCTGGCTTCTAAGGCCATATATGGTCTGTCATAACTACTCAGCTCTGCTATTGCAGCAAGAAGAACCATAAACAGTATGTAAGCAAACAGGCTTGGCTATGTTTTAGTAAAACTTAATTTACAAAACAGGCAGCAGGCCAGCTTTGGCCCCTGGCTGCCATTTGCTGATGCTTGTTCTAGACTCTGGGATGACCACCCTGGCATCGAGCACAACCCCCAGGCTGAGTCAGCTGGAGGCTGAGCCAGGAACGAGGCTCATTCCTGGACAGTTCTAGATAAAGCTAGCTTTTCAGCTGACTTCCTGAGGCCTTCCTTGCAGGCTGGGGCAGAACCCCTGCTGCCCCCTGGTGGAAGAGGGACTGTTCCGTCCCAGGATTTGTTTCCTAGTGTAGAAACTAATTTAGTTCTATTTTCAAAAGAAATCTACACCCCTACTGGATACCCAGATGGGCTCAGCATATGTGATGGGCTCAAAGAAGACAGGCATTGCTTTAGACCCCTTGTTTGTACATGAAATAAAACAGTGTCCCTTTCCTTCTCTTTCACTGTGGACCAAGACTACTTTTTTTTTTTTTTTTTTTTAAGAAACCTAAAGGGAGACCAAAATAAAGTCGTAAGCTGCAAAGTGTTTGCTTTAGGCACCTAATTGAAGAGCCAAGTATGCATACTTTTTCTTTGAAAAACATAATAAGCACCTATTACTGTTATGTAGTATGGGAGATCAATTAACCCTTATGAAAAAAAAAACTCATTTTTAAATGAGCAAGAGTTTGAGAACAGAACCTGTTTCTGAAAGCAAGCAGGCCAGCATTTTCAGATAAAGGAGGCACATTTTTTTGATATATAGGCTCTTTAGGCCACAGTGCTTATTAAGTTTATATATTTTGAATTTACTCAAATGGAAAATTGTTTATTGGGGGGGGAGGTTTATTTAATATCAGAATTTTCTCCTTTACCCCACCTCTTTTGAAATTGGGGCTGTATGAAATCACTCTTTGAAAAATACATTTCTTAAGGAGGAAAATAAGAAAGTGCCCTTTATATGATATTTTATTCATCTGGAATTAAGCACCGCTTCTCAGGTAATCTGAGGGGAATTCTGCTGACATTTATGACATTATAATGAGCTCTATTTTGAATAAAACCATGATTCACAGCATAAGGGAATTTGTTCTAAGATATGAATGCCCATAATTTTTAATACCAAACTTAGAGGTTTGGGGCCTTATTTGCAGAGGAAATAAACTCCTGACTTCTTTCGCTGTGCCCAAAGAGACAGAGACAAGCATGTGGTGTGTTTGCATAGAACCTAGTTTTATAAAATTAGAATAAGGCATAAAGTTAGCAACATATTTAATGTTTTCATTGAAACGGAGCCCCAATAATTTAAAGCCACACGATTATGAGCATTTTAATGTAAACAGTATATTCCTCATTCAGCTATTTAATTTGCAATTCTTCCTCATAACTGGCTTGTTCATTCAACTTCCCGTTTGGTATTTCTTCTTATTTTTATTGCTGAGTGTCCTGGGAGTGGAATTGGCAGGGAGGTACAGGCACTTTGAGGTGCTGTTCAGTGTTTCTCCCTGGATGATCTTTGCATTTTTTTTTTTTTTGCTTGCTTCTTTGTTAGGCTATCATTTATAAATAAACTTAAGAACAATAGGTTTATCTACCTTTTCCTTACTATTCCAGAGGTTGAGCATATTTGGTGATTATTGGTCACTTGCATCCTTTCATTTATAACTTTTCATTCTTTTCTTTTTTTAAAATATTTTTTTAGTTGCAGAGGGACACAATATCATTTATTTATTTATTTGTTTATTTATTTATTTTTTATGTGGTGCTGAGGATCGAACCCAGTGCCTCACCCATGTGAGGCAAGCACTCTACCACTGAGCCACAGCCCCACAGCTCTTGCTCTTCATTCTTAATGTCTATTTACCTATTATGATCTTTGGCTGTTTTTCATTATTTGTGAAAGTTGTTTAGGTATCACGGATATTAACTAGGGAAGCCACTAAATCTCTCTAAACTTTCCACTCTTTATGAATGAAATGAGAAGGTAAGACTAGCTCATCTCTAACTCCTCTTCCTTTTTAAGATCATGGTGGTTATATTTCAAAATTGAATGTAAGTCACATTTTCATAAAGTAAGGTATATAGACATTGATAGCTGAATATATTTTTTTTAAAAAGTGAACCCTGGAGCAATATATTTTTGCATTTTGAGACTGTCCTACTGAACAAGTTTTTCAGTCAAACAAAACATTGAAGTTGGGAAGACTCAGTATTGCTGAGTGTCCTGGAATATGTTCACTTTGCAAAGGGAGATCATCAGTGTTGTGTGGGGTTTTCAGCTTCTCCTTAACAGTCATTCCATTCCTTCAAAAAGAGAATCAGAGTCATGCATATGTCCTGTAACCTACGTGAAATAGTTGCTCATGGTGTCTGAAGGTAATTGACAACGCACGACTGTTCAAAGATAACTAATGTTAGTAGTATACAGGTTGTTCACAGTTCCCACTGTCAATCAATATACCCTTCCACACAAGGATTTTATTTATGCTTACTTAGTAATC